TTTTTTTTTTTTTTTTTTTTTTTTTTTTTTTTTTTTTTTTTTTTTTTTTTTTTTTGTCACTTTGGTGAATAACAAGTGTGCCTTAGTTGCTGCCTGGCAGTGTTACTTTTTTGAAGTTTTTTCATTTTTTTTTATTTTATGTGTGGGACTCTGCGTAGGGTAAGGGCTTGCACGTTGACACAGGGGAGGGCTGCGGAGTACCTGGCCTGGACCATGCCCTCGATTTCTACGTGTTATGATGTCATCCTTGCGCAGAGGTATGCGGACCACATTCCGTAAAGGGCCTGCGGTCTGTTTTTGCTACAAGGTAGCCCCCCAATGGGATGGTGTGGCAAACAGAGTGCTACCGTCTTCACCCGAATAAAGCGTTCAGTCTGGACTGAACGTTGCACGAAATACAGCTATAATGACCACGCGTTCTATTGGGGTGAAGATGGTAGTGGAGTCTCGGGAAGGTCCTAGGTGGTGTCTAGGCTTTTCACAGGTCCTTGTCTGCTGAGAATCCCTGGAGGGTCCTACGGTCTTCCCCCCCCCCCCTGAATAAAACTCATGGTCATTCTGCCCGTATTTGGAGCAACTTTCAGTCTAGATACGGTGATGATGACTGTACGTTCTATTCTGGGGAAGATGGTATGAATGAAGAGCTTAGACTTTTCGTTACCTTCGTCCCCCGAATACAACGTACGGTCATTATAGCTGTATCTGGGGTATCTTTCAGTCTAAATGCAGCCATAATGACCGTACGTTCTATTCGGGGGAAGAAGGTAGTTGGTCTTGCTGGCTACTTTATAGGAAGCTATTAGCTATTCTCAATTGCCCCTGAGGAGGCCGGGTGGACAGGGCCTGGCCAAAACGTGGCGTCAAAGTATGCCAGTTTTTTTTTTTTTTTTTTTAACACAAAAACCGAAAACATGTTACAGTTTCGGCTTAGGTTTTTTCAATGTTCTTCTAACTGACATTTTTTCAAATTTGATTTCTTTTGTTTTTGACAAGACCAAATTGATGTTAGATTCTAAATTTTTTGTACCACCATTTGAGCCTCTGAGGGGATTTTCACAGATATTAACATCTCTGAAACAGTTTTCACCTTTGGCAGTAGCCGAATGCAGATCCCAGGGGTCGATCCCTTGACCTCAGCTTACCTGTGTACAGTATCTGCACAGTTCCCTGGAGTTGAACCCGTGACCTGCCCGATAGCCAGTGGTAAGTAGGTCGCCGTAGGTTGT